GAACAGACGGGTCGGTAACGAGAGAGGCAAGGACCCGAGGAACAAGAGGGCGAGCAGCTCGAAAGTAGTCAGACAAGGGAGGAGGCGCAACGGCAAGAGAAGACGGAGGAGGCGACGGTAGGAGGGGAGGACGAGACACGTGGGAACGGAGCAACATAGGGTGAGAGCGGGCGACAGGGGAGACAGGACGAGCACGGGAGGGACGGCGAGACCAGACGTGCGACGGAGGCGTCGGGTCAGGAGACAGAGGGGGGGACACAGGAGGGGAACGAGGGGGAAGACGAGCCGGGGACGAGTCCGGCGGAGGGAACACAGTGCCGTAGACAGGAAGAGGGGGGGACGGCGGGAGAGGAACAGACGCAGAGTCAGGGGACGGAAGGCGGAGCACGCGAAGGGCGGACACCGGCGGGGACTGCTGCAACACAACACCAACACCAGGGCCGCAAGGTGCTCCTCGGCTACCTCCGAACCACTCCACGCCGGCACCCCCAGGAGAGACACCCCCAGAACGCGAAACCCCGCCAGCACCGGGACCACCCCCAGGCCCGCCGGGACAAGCTACGACACGAGCCCCGGGACTAGCACCCTCCTCAACGCCCGCACCAACAGAGTCCACGAACTGCTGTGGCGACGACAGCGGCGGCGGTGGCTGCAACGACGGCTGCGACGGCGGTTGCGGCGGAGACGACGGCTGCGACGGCGGCTGCGGCGGAGACGACGGCTGCGACGGCGGCTGCGGCGGAGACGATGGCTGCAGCAGCAGCTACGACGGCGGCTGTAGAGACGATGGAGGAGGAGACACCGGGGGAGGAACAGACGGCAAGGACCGCGCCGGAGGACTACCAGAGTCAGAAGACTCCTCGACCGGGACAACCGACAGGAGGGGGGTGACGTGGGACACACCAGAGGGGGCAGGACGGGGAGGGGGAGGGGGAGGGGCAAGGACCACCGGGGAAGGAGTGACCAGGAACAGGGGGGGGGTAACCGGGGGACCGCTGTGGGGGAAGCGGCGGTAGAAGGAGACCGACTCGTCAAAGGTGACGTCACGGGAGTGAAAGAACCGGTGGGACGGTTGGTGATAGAAGTGCCAGTCGGACGCGTCAAGGGGAAAACCGAGGAAGACACAGGGAAGGGTGCGGGCAGTGAGCTTGTCCGTGCCAGAGGCACGAACGTGAGCAAGGCAGCCCCAGACGTGGAATAGAGACGCGTCACCCGGAGACCCAGTCCAGAGAAGGGTCGGCGAAACCTGCGGTTGCTGGGGGTGCGGCCACAGGTTAAGCTGGTGAGCGGCGTAGCGAACCGCGAACGGCCACAGAAAATGGGGTGCACCGGCGTGGATCATGGAGGTACGAGCCACCTCCATGACCAAACCGATGCGTCGCTCAGCGACCCGATTCTGCTGCGGGGAGTCCGGCAAGGTGAACGTCTGGGTGATGCCCTCCGCACGACAGAAGCGACCAAGGACACCTGAGGCAAACTCGCCACCACGGTCGGAGTGAAGACGCAAGACAGAGAGACCACGGCGGACACGCGCAGCAACAAGCCAGGGGATGAGGGCGTCAGGCACGTCGGCCTTCCGCTCTAGGGGAAAGACTGTGGTGTAGCGCGTGAAGTCGTCGACAAGCACGAGGAAGAAGCGCTCGCGACGCGGCCCATGGACGGGGGCGGGGCCCCAGACGTCCATGTGCAGGGTAGGGAAACTCTGGGAACGAACCGGGGAGACCAAGGACGAGACCGTGCTTGGACATGTGACGCAGACGCGGGAGCGCAGGGTGACCTAGACGGTGGTGCCACAAGAGAGTCGGGTGGGTAAGGGACCGACAAGAGCAAGCAGCAGCAACCTGGGTAGACGCAGCCACCTGGGGAGGCGTCCCAGCCGGGAGGGATCACGGTGTCAAGTGTGAACAGGCCGGACACCGGGTCCTGGGGGAACATGGTAAGGGGGGCACCAGTGGCGGCCTCGGTACAGACAGCATACCGCTCGTGACCAGGGAACGTAGTGGTGACGCCAAGGTCCTGGAGGCAGCCGACACCAACTAGGTTCCGGGAGAACGAGGGGATATGCAGACCTGTGAGAGAGCCCGAAGGAACCGCCGGACAGGGAAGGGTGGTGGAACTGCGGGCAACTACCAGACCGCCAGAGGGGTCAGCAAGAGAAACTGCAGCAAGAACAGGAAGCGGCGTCAGCGTAGTGGAATCGCGGAAGAAACACCGGGAAGCGCCAGAGTCCAAGGTGAAGGAAAGCGCAGCAGTGGCGTCTGGCGGCAGAGAAGCGGCGGAAGCACCGAGGCTAAACAAAGTAGGAGATCCTACGCCTGACGCAGCAGGGGAGTCTAAGCAACAAGGGGTAATAAGAGGGAAGCACATTAGAGTCATCAGCATACAGCACATGCAGGGCGGCTACAATGGCATCCATGTCCAAGTCAAAAATCTGAACCCTACGACTAAGCAAACAGTGCCAGTCCGGGAGGTCGGGCGACGGGCCGAAGCGATGACGGAACAGGTCGTCCAAGCGACGAAAACAGCGAGGAGTGGAGTGACCGATCTTACCGCAAACGAAGCCGCGGCGAGGACCGGTCTGGATCTGGTACTGACTGCGCACGCCTCCGGAACCACCACCCGGCCCACCACCACGCGCACGGCCACCACCAGCTCCAGGCCACCCGGGCGGGAGGGCACTCGCCTGCCTCGGCTGCTGCGACTACTGCGGCTGCGGCGGCTGCGGCTGCTGCGACGGCTGCTGCTGCTGCTGCTGCGACGGCGGAGGCGGCTGCTCAGCTGGAGCGGGCGGGGTCCCCTCGTCCGCTCCAGCACCAGACGGCCCGCCTCCACCACCACCTCCACCGGTACCCCCTCCTCCCCCGCCGCGCCCAGCCTTGGGGCGGCGGCCCTTCCCCGGACGGAACTGCGCTGCGGCAGCGGTCTCAGCCACAGCGGCAGAACCATCGGAGAAGGTGCACTGAGAAGGGGCAGAACCCTGAAAGATAGGGACCGGCACAGTAACGCTCGCCTGTGCGATAGAGCGGTGGCGGGTCTCAATCACAGTCAGGGTGTCTACAAAGTCTGTGAGGGTGAGTTCACCAGGGTGAATGCTAAGGAACTGGTCGCGAGCCGCGGCAAGGCGGGTGGCAAGCAGGTAGAGGGTAGAGGTCATGGGCGGCTGGTGGGCTCTAAGCTGTGCGTCAGTGCAGGCAGCGCGCCAGGTCTCATCTATAGTGCGCAGGTGGGCAGCTAGGTCCGCGACAGTGGGGAAAGATGCAAGGTCAGGAAAGAGCATCGGGAGGATCAGGCGACTCACGGATGCAGCAGGCGGGATGGAATAGCGCTTGACGACAGCATCTAAGAAGGCCTGAGCAGTAGTGATAGACCTAAAGCGGGGACGCTCAGACAGGGGTAGGGCATTGCTAATGGCAAGCTGCGCAACAGCGTCTCGGGAAAGCCAGACAGAGCGAGCAAGGGCAGCAGCGGCAGCAGACTCGCGCTCAGCGGATGTGGGGTCAGCAGGCAGCACAGCAGGAGGGTCTGGGCAGGGAAGCGTACCGTCAAGGTGTGCCGAAAGCGAGTGACCATCCTGCCGCTGGCCAGTGACGTGGCGGCGGAGGTCAGCAAGCCACGCCTCAAACTCAAGAGGCTGGCCTTCAGCGTCAAAGCGAAGCTCCGCCGCCATCAGGAACAGTGCAGTGCAGGGCAGTGCTAGGCGGTGCAGTGCGATACAGGGCGGTGCAGTGCAGTGCAGTGCGGTGCAGTGCGGTGCACTGCGGTGCACTGCGGTACAGTGCGGTGCAGTGCGGTACAGTGCGGTGCAGCGCGGTGCAGTGCGGTGAAAGGTGGTGGAGAACCGTACCAGGGAGAGTGCAGATCGGACGGTCGTAGGGCCGGCTAGGAAGGGTCGGAAGTCGACGCGGGGCCGGCCGGGACAAGCGCGGGAGCCGGCTGGGACGGGCGCGGGACCGGCAGGGACGGGCGCGGGGCCGGCTGGAACGGGCACGGGGCCGGCTGGGACGGGCACGGGGCCGGCAGGGACAGGCGCGGGGCCGGCTGGGACGGGCGTAGGGCTGGCTGGGACGGGCGCGGGGCCGGCTGGGACAGGCGCTGGGCCGGCTGGGACGGGTGCAGGGGCGGCCTGGACGGGCACGAGGGGCCGGCTGGGACGGTCGCGGGGCCGGCTGGGACGATCGCGGGGCCGGCTGGGACGGTCGCGGGGCCGGCTAGGACGGTCGCGAGGCCGGCTGGGACAGTCGCGGGGCCGGCTGTGACGATCGCGGGGCCGGCTGGGACGGTCGCGGGGCCGGCTGGGACGGTCGCGGGGCCGGCTGGGACGGTCGCGGGGCCGGCTGGGACGGTCGCGGGGCCGGCTGGGACGATCGCGGGGCCGGCTGGGACGGTCGCGGGGCCGGCTGGGACGGTCGCGGGGCCGGCTGGGACGGTCGCGGGGCCGGCTGGGACGATCGCGGGGCCGGCTGGGACGGTCGCGGGGCCGGCTGGGACGGTCGCGAGGCCGGCTGGGACGGTCTAGGAAAGGCGCGACGGGCTAGGAGAGGCGCGACGGGCTAGGAGGCGCGCGACGGGGCCAGGAGGCACAAACGGGGGACCCAGGAGGGGCGTGACGGGTGCTAGGGGGGGCGCGACGGGCCCAGGGGGGGCGCGACGGGGCCCAGGGGGGCGCGACGGGCCCAGGGGAGGCGCGACAGGGCCCAGGGGGCGCGACGGGGCCCAGGGGGCGCGACGGGGACCAAGGGGCGCGACGGGGCCCAGGGGGCGCGACGGGGCCCAGGGGGCACGACGGGGCCCAGGGGGGGACGCGACTGGTCCTAGGTGACGCGACGGGGCCTAGGGGGCGCGACGGACGGGGGTAGGTCCTAGGGCGGAAGCGTGGGCGGGCGGGGGGACCTACCTACTGCTGATACCATCTTAGAATTGAAGAATTGTTGAATAGAGAGAGAGTACAAGGGTATATACCTAAGAGTGTTGTACCCTCTAAGAGGCGACCCTATACAGTCTATACAAACATGAGTTATGCATATGTTTGACAGTTAGCTCCTAACAACCCTGCCTTGCAGGCGGGCAGTGCCCTCCTGACTGACATGACAGGTAACAAGGATCAAGCTGCCACACGAATGACATGCCATGTGTACTCACAAGGTACATGTACAGAGAGCACACCGCACTCTCATCCACCTGTAGTTACAAGCGCTACATCTGGAGATGAGCATATACACTGCTAACGCTATGATACACAGGCTGCTTCAGCCCCACTTGCTGAAGCTTGGCTCTCAGGGCGAATTCCTATTACCTCGCATCAGACTCATGCGGTCCTGCGCGGTGCACAGGCTCTATCTCGCAATTCCATGCGGTGCGTCTCGGTTCGTCGCGAGTCTGACGCGATCTGTAGGAATTCTCCCTCAGGCTAGGCAGATATGAGTATGACCACTCGGGGGGCACAATGAACAGCCCCCCATGCTACAACCATATTCCCTGCTACAGCCTTGCCCGTCCAGCTCAGTGGTGTCAGTCCGAGGGGCGTGCGTTCAGGAGTATTGGGGGGCGACCAAGAGATGTTCCCATTGCGCATTTCCCCGCCCGCCACTCAGCATTGCTCCGTCTCCCTCAGCCAGTCGCAGCGCAGCACCTGTTCAGCCGTGGCGCGCCACCGCGGCTCCACAGTCAGCATCTGCAGCACGGCCTCTCGCGCCGCCCCTGACACTCCCTCCCAGTGCTTGTCCGAAAACATCACGTGCCCAGCACACGCCCTTTTCCGCGTTTCGTCGTCCGTGCGTCCGTAGAAGGGGAGGCGGCCGGACAGCAGCACGTGGAGCACAACGCCCAGCGACCACATGTCCGCCTCGCGCCCGTACAGCCGCCCGCGCGCCACCTCTGGCGCCATGTAGAACGCCGTGCCCGCCACCCCGCGGATCTGCGCGGACGGCGCGGGGAGGCGGACAGCGAGCCCGAAATCCGCGATCTTCACGCGCCACTCGCTCTCCGCCCGTGCGCTGCTGTGGCTGTTGGGCGGATTGCAACCACCGCTGGTGCAATCGCTGTCGCCATAACTGCTGCTGCTCGGGCAAGAGGGAAGCCAGGGACTACTGCTGCCGCTACCGCTGGAGCTCTCACTGCTCGAGCAACTACTGCCCTCGCGCGCTGCGCCGTCGCTGCCGCCGCAATCACCGGTGAATTCGTCTATCGCTGTACAGGTGACGCGACAGCTGCCGCAGTAGCACAGCAGCACGTTCTCGGGCTTTAAGTCGCGGTGAATCACCCCGAGGCTGTGAAGCCCTGCCACTGTCGTCAGCAGCTGCCTGATGACGTCAGCGGCCTCATGCTCCAGTAGCCGTTGCCGCGACTTGATCACGGCCGAGAGCGACCCGGCGTTGCATCGCTCCATGACCAGATGCACGTGCTCCCGCGATTCCCGCACATCTAGCAGCCGCACCGCGCCGACTACTTCATTTTGGGAGACGAACCGCATGATCGCCACCTCCTGTCGAAGGTCTTCCGCGAAATCCGGATTCTCGAGCGCCGCTACCCGCTTCGATATTGTCTTGACGGCGACCTCGCCGCCTGTTGCGGAATCGCGGCACACGCGAACGGTGCCAAAGGCGCCGCGACCGAGAGTTTGGCCTGTGGGGTCGTATCTGGAAAGAGACTCGCCGGGCTGCGCGGGGAAAACGAGGGCGGCTGGAGAGCTGCAGCCGCTGGAGGCACGCGACTGGCTGCAGAGATCGAACGGGAGGCACAGGGCCAAGCCGCTTCGATTCTGGTACGGTGGTAGGTGGTCCTCCGCGTCTCCCTGCTCGTCGTAGAACAAGCCCGTGCTATGCTTCCCGTCACAAGCTTGTGTCAGCGAATCTAAGTCCGGCAAAGGGCTTTCATGATGGGAGGGTGTCGGTGGACGAGCAGCTGGTCCCGGGGAGCGCGGAGACGAACACGCGGAACCGGGCACGGCGCTGTGGCGCTCGCTGTATGAGGCGGCGCGGTCATGGTGCACGCCGCCTGAGCACAGCCCCCCTAGGAGAATGCCGCTGCTGGGGAGCGCCAAGGGAAGCAAGGACGCACCGCGACTGATGTCAAACCGACCTAGACGGCTGTTCGCTATCTCGCTCTCCGACTTCTGCCGCCCCACGTCGCGAATGCGGCGACACGGATAGGTCGACGAGCGATCGATGTACGGGGTCGACGACGACGACCTACTTCGGTGCAGTCTGCTCTTGACGTTGCCCATGCTGCTTCTGCATGCCTGGCAAGTTAATGGGGTCGACTCAGTCCTGTATGGCCTGGGTACTGGCGTCTAGATACTAGCGTTTTGAAGCTGCGCAAAACGGATTCGGTTTGTAGTGAGGAGCGCTGGCGTGCTACTGGGTGAGGCATGTCCATTCCATTGCCCAGTGCTCCTGATAAGCCTGTCTTGTTGTGAAGTGAGATATGGGGCGATGGGTGCTGCTGTAACCCATGGTTGATCATGTGCCCCTGGCCAGCTCTCTGACGGGGCAAACGGGCGGGGCTTGGCCGTGCAATGGCGCTGAGGTGGTGTCCGTAGAAATGACATGTCACGTTGGCCGTGTCAAACCAGAGCGCGCCCACGTTTGGGGGTTAAACTCTGTAGCTGCTGTGTCAAATCGAGTCCCGTGCACGAAATTTAGCGTAGTCTGTTCATTGGCCAGCGTCGATTTGAAACGGCGACCCTTCAGAAGCCGAGCCGCATCTACTTTGTTGGTGGGGAAAATCCACCAGCGCACCTCGAGGCTTGCCCTTGGGCCAAGGAGTTCGCATCGACGTATTTGGTTGGCTAACGACATCTCTACACTTCGTCAGCTTGTGATCGACGAGTTCTATTGGTCGTTGGGTCCAGGTGACATTGACACTCTGCAAACAATGTTTTCGAGTGTCAAGTCGAATCGCGTGACCCTGCGTAAAATGACCTGTCATTTATACGGACACAGCCTGAGGTGGGAAGGTGGGTAGTTTGGTGAGAGCGAGGCACAGCTGTATCAAATGCCCTTCGATTCGAACCTTGGCACGGAGGAGCGGTTTGGTTGGCCAGCGGTTCCGAATCCCACGAAATGGCTAGCATTTCATGCAGGGGGCTGGTGCCCCAGTTCAAGGCGGGTTGGAGCGTATAGATCATGGTAAGCACCTCCTTCGCCCTTTTCAGGCAAATCCAGGCAACTTCATGTTTCACACTGCAGCGCTCACAAAAGTTTGTGTAAAACGGAAGTACTCCATCCAACGAGAATATATGGCACATTCTTCCACTCCTTCCTGATTTGATGGAAAATGGTGGCCGCGTTTCTTGGTTTCGGAAAATGTTTGACGGAAATTCTTTCCGAGCGACTTGTGGCAACGCGGCATCCAAGGCGTCTGCTGGTCTGGGTTCCAAGGGAACACCTGCGGCTCGTCAACCAAGGCGCAGGTAAGGTATGTGAAGGGTATAGGAGGTGACATTAACGAGCAGCCTATCGCAGAACAGAGATCAACCACGAGCAGTTACTGTACGGAGTTCGCGGCATGAGAAGAATGACATTTGACAAGCTCACCCAAGTACATCGCTGTTGCAGTGACAAGCTCACCCAAACGTGCAAACTGAATACACTTTTGTCGATGTCTACTCCAGAAGGAAAATGGGCAAGGATATGCTAGTACCAGGCCCTCAGAAGTCAGGCCAAAAAGGCCTGAAAGCCTGTATATCAGGGTGTTTTTTAGGGCATACCCTGATTTTTCAGGTTTTGATTTTCATCAAACCTGAAATTTATGTGTTCCCATGTTTTAAACCCTGAAAAATAGTACGTTCTTGTTTTTGCGAGTCTGACGAATCAGCCTTAGTCGAAATCTGCCCTGAAACATAATCCTTTCTGCAGGGCGAGCTGGAGCAGGTGTGAGGGGCGTGACTGGTCGACCAGAATCACGCTAGGCGAGCTGGAGCAGGTGTGAGGGGCGTGACTGGTCCTTCACCAGAATGACGTAGGTAGTTTTATGTGAACTGGAGCAGGTGTGAGGGGCGTGTTTGGGCCTTAGCCAAAAGCACAGACCAGCCCGCAGAAAGTGGCGAATTGCTGCGTGAATTTCGCTAAACTGGAAATCCACGGCGAAATTTTGCCGTCCCTGCGACTGCATAAACAGCATTCCCGGCAAGGTACGAGGTGACGCCTGTGCCTGAATCTCGGCAAATTACGAGGTGCTGGTTTGGGCGAAGATGCATTTGCGAAAACCACAAATGCACGTGGCATCACTTGCGACTTTCGCGATGTTGAGCATGTGCCGCCATATCTGACGCGAGGGTTGAAAGTCTGAGCTGCGGTCCGGGAAAACTGAAGTTTGACACCAGGTTAGTCTGACGCGAGGACCGTAAGAATGTTCTCTGAGTCCTCCGCCAAAATCACACAGGTACATCGTACGCAGTGAAGTCCGATCCGAAATAAGAATCAGATACTAAAAAAACGTAGGCCTGATTATTCAGACTTCATTTTTTTTTGGCCTGAAAAAATATGCCACGCCCAAAACCCGACCCTGAAAAACAGGGTTCTCAGATGGGCGATCCTGAGCAATCAGCCTCCCTAAAACCAATCTGAGGCCCTGGCTAGTACTCTATTTTCAAGCATTCATGTTGACTTCGAAACACCGACTACACTATTTTGCAATAACGTCGTGTTGAAATTTGATAGAACCGTACATCTGAAGCATCAAACAGATACCCACAACCAGTCTCTACGTCTTTCTGCACTGCACAGCTGATTGGTCAGTCCTCCCTGCCAGCCCCTCTACTCTCACTCTCCGTGCAGCAGCAGCAGCTGCTGAAACCACCTCTCTAGCAGCGGCACGCACCTCCTGCTCCTCCTTCTGTGCCTTGGCGTCTGGCTTGGCATAGAGCGACGTGTACACAACACGCGTGCGCATGATGAGGATGAGGTTGAGGCACACCCCCAGCACACACACCGCAGCCATGATGAAGAACGTCAGGCGGAAGCAGTGTGCACCATAGCACTCCTTGCTCTTGCCCGCCGCCATCGCCCACTCAGCTACATGCAACCCGCTGCTGCTACCAATGCTGCTGACGTTTCGTTCTAGGCTGCTGCTGCTGCTGAGGGTCAAGCTTTGAGATGTGGAGCGCAAGATGCGTCGGGACAGGGTGTCCGAGGCAGAAGCCGTGTGAGCAAGTGCGGATGATGCTCCGCCCACCCCTGGCCCCCCCCCACTACCTGCCACACCCACCCCGCTCCACGGCCAAGCCCCACCCAGCCCCCACCCTCCCCCCACCCCTCCACTCCCCCCCCCACTATGGTCCTTCTCAGCCTCCCTATCATACAGATACCCCGCAATCAGCCCAGAGAAGACGAAGGAGCCGAAGGGGCAGGCGGCGGTGAGCGTGTTGTAGAGCATGCCAAAGTGCTTGAGGCCAAAGAGCTCGCTGGCGGTGGCGGGCATGATGGACCAGTGCACGCCGTATGACAGCCCGACTATCACCGACCCCAGGTGCAGGGACGTGGGGAACGCCAGCGCGAAGAACACGTGGCCCACCGCCATGAGGGACTGCGCCATAAGCAGCAGCACGGGGCGCGGCAGCACGTGCTCCCTGGGGACGGGGGGGAGGGGGGAGGGGGTAGAGGGGAGGGGGCGGACAAGGCAGGGATGGAGAATGGAGCTGTGAGCGTGGCTGGGAAGATAGGGGCCAGGAGAGGAGCGGACGCGTGGATGCAGGTACGTGGGGCGTGATTTCCGTATTCGCAGCGGGGTTGAGATGAAGTGACTGTTCTTCTCTGTGCGTGCGCATGCAACCACACTCTCTTCTCGCGCTCCCCCACACTCACTTGACCACGTGCTCCGACGCGTATCCGGCCAGCAGGCGCCCCACGAAGTTGCTGACGCTGAGCAGTGAGAGGAAGACGCGCACGCTGCTGTAGCCCTGTGCCGTGCCCATCTGCGCCAGGTTGTTGATGGCCGTCAGCCCGCTGCCCGTGCCGCACAGGAATGACACGAACAGCAGCCAGAAGTCTGCCTTCACCGCCGCCTGCTGCAGGGTAAAGTCCTGCCCTCGCCGCGGCCCCGACCGCCTCCTGCCCCCTCCCACGCGCACCGCTCCCTCCCCCACCGCCAGCAGCAGCTCTGCCTGCTTGCGCCGCCGCTCCTCCTCTGTGTGGTGGTGGTGGCCGTGCTGCTGCTGGGGTTGGGTGGGGGCGGGGCGGCGGAAGGGCCAGCAGGAGGTGGGGAGGCAGAGGGAGAGGAAGGGGAAGCGGGAAGGGGCGGTGGTGGCTGGTGGTGAGCGTAGCGTGGACGGTCCTGCTGCTGGCGCTGTTGCTGTTGCTGTTGCTGTTGCTACTGGTGCTGCTGTAGCGTCAGCAGATGCGTCCCATTCTTCCTTCTCCTGCGGCGCCAGGAGCGGTGCCCTCAGCGCATCACCAGCACCGCCTGCACCAGCAGAGCCAGCAGGGGATGCTCCCTTGCACAGCGGGTCAGAGGGGCGGAGCGAGGAGAAGCGCTGGGAGGCAGGCGCGAGGGCAGCAGCCAGGCCCACGGGGCTGCGAAGGGGAGGAGCGCCGTTGGCGTCAGCCGGTGCAGCAGAAGCAGGTGCAGCAGAAGCAGGTGCAGCAGAAGCAGGTGCAGCAGAAGCAGGTACAGCAGAAGCAGGTACAGCGGGTGCTGCAGGGGCAGGTGTGGGCGCAGCGGCAGGGGGTGCAGCAGACGAGGAGGCGATGGGAGGAGCGAGGGCGAGAGGAGGAACCGGGGGGGAGACGCCAAGGGAAAAGGCAGGGGTGGGAGGCGAGGAGGTGGCGGGAGAGAAGATGGGTCTGGCTCGTGGTGGCGCTGGTGAGAGAGCAGACACAGCAAGGGCAAAGCCCGGGGGAGCGTACCACCCGCCCTGCTGGGCGCCCATACTGCTGCCCCCCATGCTTGACCCTGCCACGAACGACCCTGAGGATCCGGCACCGCCCATGCTACTGCTCCCCTCCGCGCCCCAGTAAGCCCCTGACGCACCCCCCCCAGCACCACCCCCACCAGCTGCACCACCCATGCCCATGCCCATGCCCATGGGCATCCCTGATGCCCCCCCCCCGCGCTGGGCGAAGTAGGACTGCAGGTCCGCCAGCGAGCTGACGCGGCTGATGTCGGACAGCAGCGAGTCGTAGCTCTCACTGCGCTCCAACGCCCCCCGCCCCGCCCCCTCTCTCTCCCCCTCCCTGCCGCGCCTCTCCGCCCCCAGAAGCGCCTCATCCTCGGGGAAGCTCCCCAGCATGATCGCCCGCTCCTCCCTCACCTCCCCCCCCCCGCCCCGCCCGCTGCCCCTGCCTCCCCGCCCTCGTCCTTCAACCTTCCCCCTCCCAGGTTCGGCTCCTCGTCAACCCCCCCTCGCTCCCCCCTGCTGCCTCCCCATCCCCCCCCGAGGGGCGGCGGCTCTTGGTAGGGGTGGTGGAGGAAGGGGGAGTGGGCGCGGTGGAGGGGAAGGCGGAGGAGGAGGGGAAGAGAGGCGGGAGGAAGGTGGCGAGGGGGAGCAGGAGGAAGGAGACCATCCCCGCGAGAATGCCGCGGTTGAACTGAAGAAGGGGGAGAAGCGGCGGGGCGGGGGGGGGGGGGGGGGGTGCGGGTGGGAGAGAATAGGTGAGAGAGCTTTTGTTCCGTGTGAGCTATTGCAGAGGAGCAGCATGCAGGGCGGAAACGGAGGCACGGCATGGCAATGCGCCCCTCTCCTCCCCTCCGCTCTTCCCATCTCACACCCTGCCCGCCACACCCCCCTCTACCCCTCCTACTCTCCCCAGTCCCCTTCCCTCTCCGCCATACATCCCTCCTCTCCCCCCTCCCCCCCCCCCTGTGCACCTGCTGCGAGGAGTTGCCGTCGTGCAGCAGCATGGCGAGCAGCAGGTACGCGGCGAGCCCCAGCGCGATCACGAGGAACGTGTGCAGCGTCTGCCCCTCGTGCTCCTCGCGCCGCCGCACGTCGCGTTCCGTCTCGTGCGCCGTGCAGTGCCCCGCGCGCAGCCGCTTCGACGGCCTGCCGCGCGACGCGGGAGGGGGGAAAGGGATTGGGGGGAGGGGGCGGAGGGGGACAGGGGAGAAGGGAGAGTGTCAGTGAGATAATGTGACTTGTAGCGCGACTCGAGGCACCTGGCGTAAGCACCCATGTGCAACGCCAAGGGATGAGCATGGCATGGCATGGCATGGTGTCGCTTGCACCATGCGGCATATACATACATACATACATACATACATACATACATACATACATACATACATACATACATACATACATACATACATACATACATACATACATACATACATACATACATGCATGGGGTAACAAACACCAGAACATGGTGACATGCCTCAACACAGCAAGCCATCAAGCCGACCACAACCAACTGAGCCGCCTCCAACGCCCTCGTGAACTCTTGAATCCGCGTGGCGCGGCATGAGGAGTCTATTTTTGAGGCGCCTCAAAAATTGAATCCGCGTGGCGCGGCCCCATCTGACCTGAGGAAGGTCATGGCGGGCAGCGACACGAGCGGCGGCACCACGGCGATGAAGCCCAGGTACGCCGCCTGGTCCGGCGCGATGAGCGCCGCGTACACCTGGGTGAAGATGGCGCCCGAGAGGCCCACCACGCCCTTGAGCAGCCCCACCACGGAGCCGCGCGACCGCGGGAAGTTGCGCACGCACGTCACCAGCACCGCCGTGTTGAACCACGCCGTGCCCTGCGACCCCACCAGCATCAGTCCGCACATCTGCGCGCGCGGTGGGCCCGGGGGGGGAGGAGAGGGAGGGGCGGGGGAGAGATGCGGGGAGGGGAGGGGACGGGGTGCGGAGAGGGAGTGCGGCGGGAAAGGAAGGGGAATTGGGGGATGGAGGGGAAGGGCAGGGAGGGTGACAATGTGGGGGAGACGAGGAGGATATTCGAGTCGGAGAAGTGAGGTCATCCGAGCGTCGTCAGCCTCGCACTACCACCCTCGTTCCACGCCCACCCCTCACTCTCTTCCCCCTGCTGTTCCCCCATTCCGCGTCTCCCCCTGACCTCGCCCCGTGCACACTTTTCTCCCCGCTCTCCTCCCCCCTACCTGCCAGAAGGGCAGCGGCAGGATGCGGTGAGTGGCGACGGCGAAGAGCCCGCTGAAGCCGACCAAGTAGTGCAGCGACCCCACCAGCACGAGCGCCCACACGGGCAGCGCATCGCACAGCAGCCCCGGGAGTAACCCGACGCTTTCGCCCATGTCCTTCGCCACGGCCAGCCCGTCCACCTGCCGCTGGTTGTACCCGCCCACGGCTTTAAGCGCCGGCGAGTAGATCGCGAACGTCGCGGAGCTCCCCGCGCACGCGAGCAGCCATAGCCCGCAGATGAGCCCCAGCCAGCGGTTGTGGCACAGCGAGTTGATCGTGCGCTCCACGCGCGCCCACACGGACGGGAGAAGCGGAGGCGGAAGCGGAGCGGGGGAGGATGCGCGCGGGAAGGAGAATCGCGGGGAAGAGGGGGTGTCTGGAGCGGGGCCCGCGGAGGGGGCACCGAGCGGGGATGGGAGGGAAGGAGAGGGGAGATCGAGGTGGGATGTGGTGGGGAAAGCGGGGGATGCGGAGGAGGAAGGGGGGGCAGGGGTGGAGGAAGAGGCAGTCGCTTCCTGAAGCGCCATTGCGGCGAGATGGCGGGACGCGACGTGCGCGGACAACAGTTACCGCGTCTCGCGCTGCAGCTGCGCATACATGGGGCTCAGATCGGCTAGGAAGAGACGACTGGGACTTATGGACTGCCCCAATAGGTCTGTCAAGCCGACGGCTAGGCCGAATCTGGATTTCAAGATCTCAATGTCAAGAAACGCCAGACAAGGGCCCACCTTTCGCAAGGACTCCAACCTAGCTACACACGCGAAGCATGACTAGGATGAAGCAAATCCTAGTTGGAGGAGGTTCTAGGTGGCGACTCTTGAAAGAATGGGAGAGGATGGTGAGGTGCATGTGAGCGGCGATAGATTCAGCTTTTTGACGGGTTTTTGGTGCTGTGCAATGCACCGCGAGGGAGGGATCCAATCCCATGGTCGCATGGGGCGATAGTGAATTCCATCGCTGCGAACACGAGCCCTCCCGTTCCGTCGCACAGCGATCCACACACGGGAGTCGCAGATTGAAATGGAAGGGGGAATTAGGCGAATATGGCGAATCTGCCCGAGCACTGCGAAATGTGTTTCCAGAGGCAGCTGCTTCGCATGGAAAGGAGGATGCCCAGAACTTACCCGCGCTAGTGTGCGACTGCCCGATGTTGACGTGACATGGCGTCGCACGAATGTCGCAAGAGCCAATCAGCAAGGAGCAGCAGGGGAGGTGCTTGTGTCCGATCCGAGACTGAAGTTACCGATCGAGATTTTTGGGAATGCGGCCGCGCTGATTGGACGGAAGTGCTGGCCGAAAATTGGTCGTCCGATAAACGACAGTAGGCTGTATATTATCGACCACTGTACCTCAAATTCTATCTGCACTGTATCGATCCCTTTTTCAAATGGGGCGCACTATACCGCATAATTCAGGGCACTGCAATCTCGAGTCACGAGGGCTCCACCAGCAGCTCCGAGCCAAGCACCACGGCGCGCCACCTCCATCAATGGCGCCTGCTTGAGACGACACGGCCGAGTCCTCTCTTCGCAATGGCCGCTTGACCAGGAGACCACACGTGGCCATCGGTCCACCGAAGCTTTGCGGGATCTCCAACGCGCCGCCATGCATTCCCTCCGGCCGTTTCGAGCGCAATCCAGGTCGCGTCCGCTCTAGAATCTAGATCACGCGCGCTGGCCTGCTGCCCGGCACTGCTTCCCACCATGGACCCGCCTCATCTCGCTCTCGCTCTCCTCCCTCACCCGCCCACGCTCCTATCCGACATTGCCTCGCTCCCCTGGGACCTCCTCAGCCTCCTCTTCTCCCGCCTCTCCCGCGCATTCCTCTCCCCTCTCCCCCTCCCCGCCCTCCTCCTCACCCTCCTCCTCCTCCTCCTTATCTCCCCGCCCATTTACCTCTGCGCGCGGTGGTCCGACGCGCTTTCCCTGCCCCATGCGCGCTTCGACCCGCTGCTTCTCCTGCAGATCGGGGTGGTGCCGTGCCTCTTCGAGGAGACGCTCTTCCGCGTGCTGCTCCTCCCGCACCCCGCGGAGCTCTCCCCCGACGTGATGGCGCGCGACGAGGCGCTTCCGTTCGCGCTCTTCTGGTGGCTGCTGTCGACGGTGCTCTTCGTGCTCTACCACCCCGTGTGCGCGCTGCTCTTCCGCGAGCCCGCCGTGCGCCTCTTCACGCATCCTGGCTTCTTATTAGCCTGTGCCGTGCTGGGGGGCGGCAGCGCTTGGCTGTATCTGAGTGTGGGATCCGTGTGGCCGTGTGTGGCGGTGCACTGGGTGGTGGTGGCAGTGTGGCTATCACTGGGAGGCCACCATCAGGCGCCATTATGATGTGGGAAGGATCTGCTTCATGCGGGTGCTGTACAACGCTACACTGCAGCCACCACCATCCTCTGAACTTTCGTTTCCACTGGTACAATAGAGTTGCGTGGACGGTACCGGCATCTAAGATGCTGGAGTCCCGTGGGGATCGGTGACTTCAATAGCTCTTGCCTCATTCAGAGTAGGTCTAATAATGCTAATACAGGAGATCGAGGCATGAGGTGAGGAGGCCAAGGGCACAGCAGCAAAACCTAGGCTGTGCCATCAAAACTAGGTGCCAATCTCCAGGATCTTGACCACGAATGAGTCGCCGAGCTTTTGCACCACGACCACGCGGTCGTGTGCACGCATGAGGCCCATCTCCCTGCCCTTCTCCATCGCCATCTTCAGCACCGTCTCGTTTGTTGTGATGTTGCTCGCCGACTGCCACACACAGAGGGAAAGGCGGAGGTAGTGGGAAAACAATTAAGCAGCTGGCTAAGGAATGCAGAGAGGAGAGGTGAGGAGAGGATGACAATAGAAGGGGGCAGTGCGTGAGGAGTCCATTTTTGAGGTGCCTCAAAAATGGACAATAGAAGGGGGCAATGCTGGAGCAAGGGAGGGGAAGAAGGAATGAGGAGAGGGAGCAGGGGAGAGGGAGTGCAGCATGCATGCACGGTGGAAGGTACCGGGTTGCGTGGGTCGGCGAGCATGGGGAAGAGGCCTCGGATGGCGAGGCACTGTCTGGCCTGGAAGGCGCCCGTGAAGCTCCACTTGAGCTGATTCGTGCTCAGGCGCGGCACCACCACCACCAGCGTTGGCATTGTCGGCTTGTACTTGGCCACCAGCCTGTCATGCGCCGCGCCGTGACAACAGCGTGCAGGGCGAGAGCGTGGTGCATTCAAAGAGAGGCGGATGGTTAGAGAGCGACACCACAGGAACACAGCGATGCAGTACCAGCAAGCTGACACAAGGAATGCAGTTAGACAATCCCCTGATGAGGTCAATCAACTGCTGCACACAAGAGTGCTCAAGGTAGCGTGGTGGGAGAGGTGGGTGCGGGGGGTGGCACAGCAGAGGAGAGCACAGGGTTGACGACGTGGGCTCACCTGGCAGTGCGGCCAGACGATGTGAACACCACGATGGTTGACGCGCGCACCTTCTCTGCTGCGCGCACCTGGTGGGGGCGGCAGGGGAAAACGAGCACTCGGGCGCACTTGTGAGACCACAGTGCACCAGGCAGCACAAAACTAGAAAAAGCGGGGGGGGGGGGGGGGGGGGGGGGGGGAGGGGGGTAAGTGAGGGGGGCATTCTAAGGGATAGGTTAGGTCTAAGTAGCGGTAGATGCATGTGGAACGCGGGTGAGGTGAACAACAAGGAAAGCAGCGAGGCGGCACGAGAGCGGGTGCGTACAGCAGAGGAGCAGATGGACTCGATGTGGCTCATGGGCTCGCCCACGTATTTGACCGTCTTCTTGAAGTAGAGCTGCTGGTTGTACACCTTCTCCGCCTGACCACGAGAGGGGGAGAGGAGGGACGGGGGGGGAGATAGGGGGGAAGGGAAGAGAAGGTGGGTGAGTAAGTGTGAGTGAGAAGGAGATGCAAGACATGGATGGAAGTGCGATGGCATGAAAGCCAGCACAGCCACAAAAGTTGCAAGAGCCAGCAGAGGGGAGCAGGTGCAAGGGGGGAGCGCCAAGGAAGTGAGCACCAGGGTTGAGGGTACCTCAGCGCAGATCTTGCGCACAGTCATGACAGTCTCCACGGGGTACAGCCCTCGCAGCGTCTCCGCTCCCAGCAGCACCGTGTGCGTGCCTGCACTCGCAAGAAACCCCGCAGCAGATCAGCAAAACGAACCCAGGGGCTAATGGAGAGGGGAAACATAGATTTCAAACCCTGTGCTCTTTAGGGAAAACACCTCCTCACAAGCAGTAGAAACCATCTGCAAGAGAGAAAATATTAAGCCCAAAATCGCTCTACAGCAGGTTCTGCCCATTCTGCCATGATCTAGTCCCCACGCAGTCCGCAGAGCACACACGCACCATCAAGCACGGCATTGGCGACGTCGGTGGCCTCTGCTCTGGTGGGGCGTGGCGTGTCGGTCATGGTGTCGACGACACGTGTGATGATGGAGGGCTTGCCCGCCATGTTGCACTTGAAGATGGCCGCCTTCTGAAACAGAAACACCTGTACGGGAGGGGGGCAGCGCACACACGCCACGCAGGGCAGGCAAGGCGGGCCGCCGTGGGACGGGCCACACGGACGACTCGTGATGAGCTGTTGGGATCTGCTGTGGAAACCAGCGGCACTGAAGGTGGGCATGCTGGGGCTACCCTTAATATCTTTCATAAGCGAAATACTCTTGTACAAGAGTTGCACAAGCGAAATACTTGACTTCGAGGCATGGACCCTCTAATCAATTTTTGGGATATTTGTTGAACTTTTTAGTGCCTGCACCAGTTGAATCTCTTATCTGGATTGATCTCTATGAGTGCCGTGTGGCTCTCGTGGCCGTAACAGCCATGTGGCGCTCACCTTCTCTTCTGCCAGCGCCCCTCTCACCTTCTCTGCTGGGAGGTCAATGCCCAGGTCGCCTCGTGAGAGGATGATGCCGTCCGCCTCCTGGAGAATCTCGTCAAAGTGCTTCAAGCCCTGCTCATGCACCACGTCGCACCGCACACACATAGCATCGACAACCAGTGAGCACGCAGCACCGTTACCAGCCTAAACTCGAAAAATGTGAGGGAAACGTGGGATGGGATGGGATGGGATGGGAGGAAATGCGAGCGAGAGAGGGAATGGAAACGGGGGAGAACAAGAGTGCAGCGGTGTGTTGCAGACCTCCATGTTCTCGATCTTGGCGTAGATCTGCGTCTGCGAGAGGTCGCCCAGCTTCGACAGCAGCGCTCTGGCCTGCCAGCCACACAGCCAGCCACGAACCAGGATGGGATGGGGGGAGAGGGGAAACACAGCAGCCCACGGCCCAGAGACTCACGTGAGTAGGAGGAGCATACATGCCACTGCTCCTTCTCTCGGGAAAATATGAAACTGGCGGAAGCTGCAACAGTGAAAGCGAGAGGGACCATACCAATGAGGTGCACCTGAGCAAGAACCTGCAACGGCACCTGAGAAAGCAGCGCCAGGGCAAGCACCTGAGAAAACACCTGCAAAAACACCTGAAGCAGAACCTGGCAACGGCTTCACAGCACCTGGCGGACGTCGTCGGCGTGGCGTGTGAAGGAGAGCGAGATGATGTCGATGCTGTTGCGCTGCCCCCACGTTGCTATCAGGCGCTTGTCCTCCTCTGTGAGCGTCGGCAGGTCTATGCGCACCTGCACCACGCCCAAGGGGCAGGGGGGGCAGGGGGAGGCGGGCGAGCAATGTGAGAGCGAGGGAGAAGAGGGGAGAACAGCGATGGGCGAGGGAGAAGACCGAATAACAGAGTTATTAATGTTCGTGCCATGTTGATGGGGAAGGGGAAGGGCATGGGGATGGGGAAGGGCATGGGTAGAAAGAAAAGGGCGAGGTGACAAACCTGTGCGACGTGGGCGGTGAACACAGCACCAGCCAGTGTGGCGCTGTTCTTGACGAAGCAGATGACGTCAGCGCCCTTGGTCTCGTGCACCTGGTGGCATGGTGGCATGGCGAGCAACGGAAGGGACCCAGCACATCGGGACGTGAGACCCATGCACACTGCGAGAGCGAAGCAGCAACCCACGGGCAGAGAGCAAAGAGCGCGTGCGCCAACGAACGAACGGAGACGAACACCGAGGGGGTAGTTACCACGGGGAGGATGATCGGGAAAGGAGAGAAGCGGCCCAGCGCGAGGGTCGATGCGGGGGTTGAATGCGCGAGGGTTTGATGAGAGGGTTGGATGAGGGGGCGCGCGTACCTCGAGCCAGACGGAGGTGGTTTCACTGCCGGTGAAGAGGTACTGCCCCACGAAGATCTCGTCGCCTGGCTTCACTGCCTGGGGACACGGGAGACACGACGGCAAACAGCGTGAGCTGGGGGTGCATCTCGTGCGGGGACGTGTGTTTGCGTGCGTGTGAGCGCGCGCGGGCGCCCCGGCGGGGGACAGACAGGTTTAATGCGTCAATGGGAGAGGAGGGGAGCGGGACACGGGGAAGGAGGGTGCGATAGCGAGAGAGGGTTGACCGACGGCGTACCTTGGCGAGGTCCTTGTAGTTGATTGGGAGCAGCTGCGACGAGATCGCCGCGGACGGGCCGGGCGTGATCGTGATGGAGTCACCCGCCGTGAGAGAAATCGGGTTACCCGTCGCGTTCTGAATCGTGATCTCCGGCCCCATCGTGTCGAACATCACCTGCCGGTCAGAATTTGACGGGTGAAACCACGCCGACGACCCAGGACGGAGACAGGGAGGGAGAATTGGAGATGGGCAAGGGAAGGCCACTATAACGCGGACAATCACACGTCGCGTTTTACGGCGTCTAGCAAAGCGCAATAAGCGAGGCCGAAGTGGGTAGCACTAGCGTGATGCGAGCGAAATTCTACAAGGTGGGGTTGGAGGTGTGATTCAATAGCACTGGGCCTGCGAAAGAGCGCTGCTCCGTAGGGAAACGTCGGCGCGCGGAACCCTTACCGCACAGAGCTTCTTTGTCTTGCGCATGGCTGCGCGAAGGTTGTCGAGCGTCGTTTGGTGATAGTCCGAGTCTCCATGCGAGAAGTCGAATCGCGCGACTGCGGACACGAGGGTCGAAACAACACGTGGGAAGGGAGCACACGCGGCGCGAACGCGATGAGGAAACAAGTCAGATCGAACGGCAAGGGGGAGGGTGATCGCAGCGTGGCGCGAAAGATTCGTACCGTTCATGCCGGCCTCGAGCAGCCCTTCGAGAACCTCGACGCTTTGACTCGTTCCACCGACGGTCGCCACGATCTTGGTCAGGCATGGCAGTGATTTCTACGGAGCACGAGAGGCACGGAGAACAAACAGATGACGGTTTTTTTTTCATGGTTCATGTTTTACGGGATCATTTCCCCACCGGGGTCATCGACCAGTTGCGCGTGGGTGGAACAATCAACAATTGAAAAATAATTACGGTCCATAACGTGCAAGGCATTGTTAGGGGAGAAGCCAGACGTACATGGTAGGACGAGGACTCGAGAATGGACGCCAACCGGATTGGCTCCTCCAGTAGGAGATGACTCGCCTGCACGCATCACAGACGCGGCGACACACAGGACGATCCGATCGTCAGACAGCGTCGATCTCGCTATAATCAGGTACCAGAGAGCGGTCTTAGGCAGAAACAGCCGATCCCCGCTGAACGGAGCTAAACGATCCGCAACTGACTACTGGAATGTCTGAGAAGCATCGGAGGAGGCCTGGATCAGGAAAAGACAATGAACCGACGGAAAGGTAGAGTGATAGCGCTGGAGTGATCTTACATTATAAGGAGCCATTATATAAACTTATGCCGGAACGCGCGCACAGACGGAGTCACTGGCAGAAACCCTACCAACACTCCTGTTACACTCCTGTTACCAAGCGCGCGATGGCGAGCTAACAGCAGGAAGGTAGAGTCAGTAAAGTCGCCGAAGGAGAATTTTAATAAGAGGTGAGGAGAGAAGGCGTTATGGAGGTATATCGGTTGAGTTGAGGTGTTGAGGTGGTGAGCTGAGGTTGAGGGGAGGGGAGGGGAGTGATCAGGGTCCACGAGTGGGGGGACTGGGGTGGGCGTCTTGTGTGGCTATGGAAGGTGGGGGGGGAGAGGGAGAGCTGGAGGACGGCGGTGGTGCACAAGACAGCCAGCCACCCGATTTAGAGGTTTGGTCCGGATCGAACGGTTGATATTCACGATGGAATCATCATATTCGAAACGGATCTGTGAATAATCCGTGGTTGGATGCTTTGTCTTGTCGATGGCCAGTTGCGACGTGAACGATAGGTTACCCGGACAGTGTGACGAAGGTAGGACACCCGCCGCGCGCTGTCGTGGCTGCAGCTCGGAAGATCCAAGGCAAGGGGAAGGGACTGATGACGGTGTTTTTTGCTCATGCCCCCAGCGAAGGGAGGACCCTTTTTGTTCTACACGGAGATGAGGAGAGTACAGTACTGGTGTGGTTTCCCAAAAAGTTCAGAGCCATGTGTGGCGCACGGGGGTTGGCTGAGAATGTGGCTGCGAATGAGCGGAACTTTTGGAAGTCCCCGAAGCGCTGGTTGGCCACCAAACATCACGGAAAAGCATATGTTCGCCAGAGGTGGCGTGCCAGGTGGATGGTAATGAACGGCTCTGTCGGATGGAGATCCGTGGACTGTAACGAACAGCGTGTATTGTTATGAATTAATCAGAGTAATACCATGTAGTGTAATAAAGGAGTCGTGATTCAAGAGTGTCGATACAAATGAGGGTCTAGGCATTTATAGGCATGAACAGAGCTAGCCGAGAACCACGCGGACAGGTTGGGGCGGTCCAGTTGGCGAAAGCCACGGAAGCGCTGCGCGTCTAGGTTTGGTTTCGGGAAATGGTTCGGGACCGAAGAAATTGGCCGAGCCTGGACTTCTGAGAGTCGAGAGCGTATGCGTTGTAGTCGAGCCCAGTAAGGAAAAGGGAATTTCCTTACACCACCCCCCATTCCGGGATGAGACTACCCACATCTAGGACACGTCTTCGGTGTAAGTAGTCCCGGATGACTTTGTGTTCGCTGAGCATAGCTACGGGGACCCAAATATTGTCGTCAGTCGTGCGATCGACCCATCGTACAAGGAAATCAACGGCTGTAGTATCTCGATCTCCTCGTACGCGATGAGCGAGAATCTTGGACGGCTCGATCGTTGGCTCGGGTACTGGTTGACCGTAGGATTGATGTGTTGACGGTCGAGATTAGTCGTACTCGGGACGAACGGTCACAGGAGATGACGTGGAACGAATCATGGATTCGCCAGTCAGTCGGCAGTTGCAGCTGGGTGGTGACTGGTGTCACCATGCAGATGATGCGGAATGGGCCGCAAAATCTTGGTCGCAATTTATTTGGGAGGGGAATTCCCAAATTTCATGTGTCGAGCAGGACCAATTGCCAAAGGACAAGTGTTAAGTCTCAGCGTCGTCGGTCATCTTGCTGCTTAGCCCTCTGGTTGGCTTTTGAGGATGGCATCGGCGGCTTTTTGCTGAGACTGTCGAAGATTTTCGACGAGCTGCTAAGACCTTGGTGCCGGATTTTCTATTAGGGGTGATAGAGGGGTTGTCAGATCTATCCCGTAATTAAGGAAGAACGGGGACTGCGTAGTCGTGGCCGATGGGGCGTTGTTGTACGCAAACTCGATAAACGGAAGGGCGTCTTTCCATTGGGCCGGGTCTGTGCACGTCGTGCGAATCAGTTGCTCCATCGTTTGGTTGGTGCGCTCAGTCTGGCCGTCCGATTGTGGGTGGTACGCCGTGGACAGATGCAGACGTGCGCCGTACTGCTGCCAGGTTTTTGTCCAGAAGTTGGACGTAAACTGTGGGTCACGATCGGTGATGATTGCCGAGGGGATGCCGTGTAGCCGCACGATGTTCGTAAGGAACAGTTTTGTTGTCTGCTCGGCAGTAATCGTCGTCTTGTAGGCGGCGAAGTGGGCCATCTTGGTCAACCGGTCAACGACGACGAGAATCGCGTTGTTACTGCTTGGACCAGCTGGCAGGCCAGTGACGAAATCCATCGTCACTTGTTGCCAGGGTCGGCTGGGTGGCTCGAGTGGCTGCAGCAATCCAGCAGGTCAAAGCTGGGAAGACTTCATGCGTTGACACGTGGCACTGGAGGTGACGTACAGCTACATGTGTGTCGGCAAATCGGGCCAGTAATAATTACGGCTTAGTAATTTGGCGGGTTTGTCGATGCCGTAGTAACCCGAGAAATTCGAGTCATGTGCCTCCTGGATCAGTAATTCCCGTAGGGTACGGTAGGCGGGAACCCAAATCCGATTGGTATCGGAATTTAGGTAATAGGCCCCTTGCTTGTCCGTCATTTGGGGATGACTGTTAGTGGTGAAGAATGGGTCAGTACTGTATCCGTGGTTGAATAGGCCAGTTAGCAAAGGATTAGCTTGGGTAATTAGGACTGCGGCGGTGTGGACCAAGGGGAGGGTCAGTGCGTCGGCGATTTTGCTGACCCCTCGCTTGTAGGTGGCTTTGTAGTGGAAATTGGACTTGAGGTAGTCGAGCCAGGGAATCTGTTGGGGATTCAGTGTCGGTTGGGCGCGGACGAACTGTAACGATTTATGGTCTGTTCGGACTGTTACGTCAGCACCCGTCAGGTAGCAGCGTCAGACTTTGAAAGCGTGAAGAATGGCGAGTAACTCCTTGTCGTGGACAGGATAATTTCGCTCGGCCCGGTTCAGCTTTCATGACTCGTAGGCGATCGGTTGTAGGCCTTCGCCGAAGTCTTGTAACAAGACTGCGCCAACGGCCAGATCGTTAGCGTCGCCGATGAGCTCGAATGGACGGTCAGGATCTACAATCTAAAGAACTGGCGGTGTAGTCAGGAAAAGTTTGAGCTTTTCGAACCAGCCTTCTGCTCTCCTCCCCTATAAAAAAACGTGCCCTTCTTCAGGAGATCCGTGCGAGGGGAAGTTACCCGCGCCATGTTCGGAATGAAACGTCGGACGTAATAAACAAAACCAAAAAAACTCTGAAGTTCACGGAGATTAGCCGGCGGCTTCCAGTCTTGGATTGTCGCAATCTTATTGGGGTCGATTTTAACACCGTCGATGGAAATTACGTGGCCCAAAAACTTCAGTTCGTGTTTGAGGAACTCGCACTTAGAGCCTTTTGTGATGAGCCAGTTCTGTTGCAGGAGAGAGAAAACTGCTTCCAAATACTTCGAATGCTGCTCCCGGGTTGTGATGTAGACGAGGATGTCGTCGAGGTACACGATGACGCACTTATCCAGGAGCGGCCGAAAATTTTCGTTCATGGTCAACTGGAATGTCGAAGGCGTGTTTGTTGAGCCGAATGGCATGACCGTGTACTCGTGATTCCCGTACCGGGTCCGAAATCCTGCCTTGTAGCAGTCAGGTTCGTGCACGCAAAGTTGGTGGTAACCGCATCGCAGGTAAATCTTCGAGAATGATCTTGCCCTGCGAAGTTGGTCGATGAGGTCGTCTGCCCGTGGAATGGGGTAGCGAGACTTGATGGTAACCCTATTCAAGGCGCGGTAGTCGATATACATACGTAGACCGCCATCTTTCTTCGGGGTGAACAGGATCAGAGCTGCAAATGGTGATGTGCTGGGGTGGATGAAACCTTTCTCGAGCAGGTAGTCCAGCTGGCGTCGAAGTTCATCTAACTCGGGCTGAGTAAGCCGCCATTGAGTCCGAACAGTAGGTTGCGCGCCGAGTTCGAGCTCGATTTTGTGGTCATGCGGCCGCTGAGGTGGCAAGCCTACCAGTAGGTCGTCTGGAAAGATGTCGGCGTGCTTCTGAATCACTGTTGCCAAATCATCCGGGACAGCTGCGCAGAGTTTGTCAATGTCGGTCGCCGTGTCGACAGCCGTTGATGCAATCCATCGGACGGCATACAATTGCGCTCCTCGAATCATTGCGCGCTTTATAGTTACAGTGCTGACCGTCGATGTTGTCGAGTCTTGGCTGCTCCACTTGGGTAGCCATCGCCATTCGCCACTCCATTTGATGCGACAATCGCCCGTCCGCCAATCAATGCTCGGGTTGTATTCGCGTAGCCAATCGCGTCCCAGCAGCATGTCGCACCCGTCCAAAGTTGTCGCCGTGAAACTGAATTTTTCGCCGCATGTTACTCGCACGTGAGGTACCCGCTCCCGAATTGCCAAGTGTGCCGTCAACCAATCTCGCGTCGCTTTCAGGCATGCAGAGCTCCAGCTGCAATGTTATTTTTTTCGCCTTCGTCATGTCCATCAAACTGTAGCTCGCCCCACCATCAACAAATATTTTGATGCGGGTGTCGCCGACTCTTCCTTCAACCAGCACAGGGCGATAAACCGGTTCACCCCCCTTTATTCAGCCAGGAATGGTCCATAGCCCAAATCGGCACTATAACCTGGTGAGGGTGCTGGCCTTTGGGCGACGCAGTCAAGTCAGTAGGTGGCCCATCTGCTACTGACGATCTCCATTTCCCGACTGCTTCTTATCGTTAGCTAAGTCCTTCTTTAGCTGCGAGCAGTCCCTCACCATGTGACCCGGCTGGTTGCAGTGGAAGCAGGTTCCCGAAAATACTCAGGCTGCAAACACGTCCACGCCGTTGATTGATGTGTGTTGGGGCTGGCCTCGAAAGCCATTTCCCTCCCGAAAACCCGCTCTCGCGAGTCCACGTCGTGCGTCCAGCGCGTCTGCTATGCGAACTATTTCGTTCAATGTCGCCGGGGCTTGCAGGACGATCTCTTGCTGAATCTCCGGCTTGAGACCACCCACATAGCGATCGATGCGCTTGTCTTCGCTAAGCCCTCCGATTTGGTTGCAGATTGCCAGAAACGACGCCGTGTATTCTTGGACAGAGCCCAACTGTCTCCACATCCGAAGCTTTGTGCGAGCATTTTCGTGCATGCATATGTGCTCGAATATGCCCTTCAATGCTTCGCCCCACGCTTTCCACGTACGAATCGTGGCTGACCCAAAGATCGGTCCTGCCTTCGT